TTTTTTTTTTTTTTTTTTTTTTTTTTGATGATATAAAGAGCGACACTTTTGTTCTATTTATTGATAAATCTGTAACTAAACCCAGTGGAATTTAGGGATGCTACAAACAGAACACAAAAAACTACACTTGATAAGTACAGATGTGGCTCAGGTACTTACGGTTATGGGCAATGCAATACGATGTCCGGCGCATTTGTTTTCCAATTCAGATATTCGCCACCATTTTCGGCTCATGTTGTTGGGCGATGAAAGAAAAGTACTATAAGGCTGCAGTTACATAAATGATAAACAAATTAATAGACAACGTTAATTAACATTAAACGGCACATTTATTTATTTATTTAAAGACTTTCACGTTTATTTGTTGGTATTTCTTCCTAGCCTGTTTCTTTTTTTAGATACAAGTGGCTGCTGAAACATCTTCACGACGTATGTCACAAAAAGTTGAAGCTCCATGGCTCTCACTGTTGATTATACCAAACGACAGTGCCAGTCTATTGTACGGTAACGACGCTAAAGAAGGAGCATTAAGACGCTTCAGTGCCAACGTTCTTCTCCCGTGTAGTCGTCGTTCGTCACTGTCATCACCGCAGGAAATACGACGTAACACCTACTGTTACGGCAATCATTTGACAGCCCCAAATAACTATGACGTTTCTGAACGTTTGTACAGTGATGATTCTGTTGAAATTTTATTATAGCTTTTCAAATATCAAAAAATTTCTCTACTGTCATAAAACTTAAATAATTACTATAAATTTTTATTAAGATTAGAAAAAAAAGAGTGAAGGCTAAATTAGTTGATGATAAGTGGAATAGACACGTTGATACCGTAGTCGGATATTTAAGTTCTGTTGTATAAAACCGTTAAGCAAGATCTCTAAACAATAGTTATTTCGCTTTTGTCATGGAACCAGTCATATGCGAAAGCTGTTTGGAAAGTCTATATAAAAAAGTGTTACGGGTTTTTGTCGTTTTTTTAGACATAAAAAAAATCAGTAAAAAATACGTGCTTTATTAGCTGCCAAATTTTGGTCAGTTTTACAACAGTTACATCTTCCTCTCATTTTCTTTCTATTTTTATATACACAAATTGAAGCACTTTTTCTTTTCATCGTAATAATTCGGCTAATTCCTTGACATTTAAAAAATTCAGCTCTAGTTTGAAATTTAATAGGCGAGTCTTTAGTGAAATAAACTTTTTTTACCTGAGAAGTGTAGAATTTTTTGAATTTTTAGCTCAAAAACAACAACTTGATCAATTACTAAAAGGCAAAAAAGAACAAAAAAATTTCAATAGTTTTTTAGAGCAACTTTTTTATAAACAATTTATCACTATTTTAGGGTAAAACTTGC